CATTCCCACTTTTCTTCCATGTCTATTTGATGGTGAAGCCATCAATCTGACCAGACATAAGATCGCAAATTTGAAAATACGAAACATAAGAAAAGTTGGCACTGCTACTCATACCTAAGCAATTCGCAGCTTGTTGGAAACCAGCTTTGAGTTGACAAGTCTGCAAATTTTGATTTAGAGGCAAGGATGCTTGAAAAGGTGATCGATCTTAGGTGTCCTAGGATAAGTTTGGAAACAGGATGCACCGTTCGATGTGTTTTGGGCTTTGCCAAATTTCGCGGCGTTACGTGCCTCGTTTTTTTTTTGCATACACGATATCTACGAGTACTTCTGGGGTTTTCGGTCAGTCAAGCCCCCGTCCCCGTCCCCCCCTATCGAAAATCCGTGGCGCCGCCCCTGGCGCCGTCCCCCGCCCCCGCCCTAGACCAGCCGCCGCCGCCGCCCACACCCACTTGCTGTGCGTGTGTGTTGGAAGCGCACAGCGCGCACCTTCTGGAAATGTAGGCCAGGCGTGGATGACACGTGGTCTGCGCACTCACCGGTGGCTACGCTGGATCAAACCCGGGTCACAGCCGAACCGTCCTGCCGGCGTCAGGTCGCACCAAGGCAGGATGCTTAGGTCAACGCACGCCCAAGTTAGATCAGCGTGGTGGAAGTATGCGTCGCACAGCGCGTCGGAGACATGTAGGCGGCACTGGTATCGTGCCGATCCGGGAAAGGTGACAGGCACAGCACGGTCTCCGTATATCGGAGTGATCTGGGAGCGCGCAGCGCCGCGAGTTTGGTCGGGAGGGTGCGGTGGGTGGGTCGTGGCTGACTGGTGGTTGAGCCTGGGCTTGGTGAGGGTGGTGTTCCATTGGTAGGTGTGGGCGACAGTCATACTGGGACCGTAGTGGATGTAGGATAGTTCAGTTCTGGACTGGGAGAGACTGGGACGCCTAAGACGCGCATGGATGAATTAGAATCCGACATGCACGGTACACGATGTTCTGATGTCGGTGGGTCGCGCGTCGGCTGTCTGTCTGTCTGTCTGTCTGTCTGTCTGTCTGTCTGGCCTGTGCTGCTGCGGCAGGTAGCCTTCCAGAGGCCGAGTTTGGTCGGTATGGAATGCAGAGTAGCCCGAACCGGAAGCAAACGAATGCGGGGCTCCCTAAAAAGTAAAAACCCACTGAGGCTGGTTGAGCTTCAAATGATTCATCTGCGAAAGTATTTCAACCTTTCTGCTTCTGTCGGCGTATTTAAGTTCGTTTAAATTTGCCGGCCGAGCCATTTTGTAGCAACCGACCAGGATATAGTTTAACGGCCTACTCCCCGTGGGCAGGGTCTGGTTGGGTGAACTGTTACACGGCGTCCACTCCGGACTGGTCTGACCACCCCTCCCCCTCCCCCTCCTCTCGCCACCGGTCAGCCGTCAGTCTGCCTACGACGGCGATAATTGACCATCGATTAGGAAATGAGCCGTGAATGGGGCCGGTGGGCACGGACGGGGAGCGGGGAGGGGGACGGGGAACTGGGTCATCGGAGCGCTGTATGTTCTGACAACAGTAGCCAGCCAGAGGGGATGTGCAGTCTCAGTCTGTCTCCGGTGACGGAGATGGCCTTGTCCCCGGTCCGGACCCGCTGATGCCTTCACTCATTGGGTTGGTATGTCATCAGCTCGACCCAGCTCAGCTCGTGGAGTGGTGTGATCCAGCACTAAGATCACGACCGTGTTTTTGTACCCTTCCATCTGCGTCTGAGCGCCTTTGGTGAAATATCATCCATCACTATCTGGTGCTTCCCATTGTATTCCAGTCACGTCGCACCATGAATCGGCTAAATCAGCCCTCCATCGCCAGACCGTAGTCTTTTTATCGTCGTATTTCGTATTCTTTATTGACGTATTTCGTATTTTTACTGGCGACACTTCGCTAGGGGCAACCCGTCGATCGGAGCCGATGCTGAGCCTTCATAGACAGCTCTTACAAGTGATCTGTCAGACACCGTTTGACCCGTGCCGTGAAATGTAACAGACAGGCGTGAAGGAGGCCGGTCGCCAGCGCTCGTTAAGAGTTAATTAACACGGCCAGCTAATAAGTGCGGGAGCTCGCAGGCGCCATTGCGGCCTATTCCGAATTATGATTTAATGTTGTACATTTCAGATGCAGATTGTGACGAGATAACTACCTCGTTCAAACCTGCTCGCTGAACAGCTGTTGTACATCTTCTCTGAACGGATTGCCCCACCACGGCCGGTGTTACACGGGCTCTCACACGCCGGTTGTAATGGCCCTTCTCCCAGCGTGCATGTGACAGGTAGTGTCTGCAGCTGCTGCGGTCGAGCCGGTGGACCGACGGCGGCTTCAATTATGTTCCGGTGGTCCCAGCTGGTGGCCGGGCCTTCCGCGGCGCTGCACGGCTGGGTGTGCGGGGACAGGACGCGGTGCCAGGGCCTTCGGCGGCGTCACTCGCTGGTCGTTACCACGCCGGTTGGTGTTCAGCGTCCGGTGGCCGCGCGGGGTGCGGCTGCGACCTCCACGGCGGATCGACTAGTCACCGACTCTGACTCGCAATCACGGACTGTGACTCGCAGTCCCTGGCTGTGGTTCGCAGTTCCCAGTTTTGGCTGGTAGCCGCTGGGCTTGGCGGTGAAGTTGTGGGTTGTGTGGACCGTGACGGCATATCGACACCTTTTTTTTTAAACCCCACATCTGCTCTCCCGTGAATTTCCGGGAGGCACGAAAGATCTCCTTTTAAAAGTGTCCAATCGTCCGATCCTGATCAAATATGTGTGTTCGTAGGCCTGTTCTGGTATTGCTTTATCTGCCAAGACAGACAAACTTGAGAAAAATCGAGTGATTGTACCTTTTTTGAAGGTCTTTAACCAACTTGTCTGAAATTCACCGGAGAACAAATGTGGGGATTTAAAAAAAGGTGTCGATATGCCCCCGACCAGCCCGTCTGACTACACCAACCCAACGCCTACCTATGTATGTAGTCCTATATAACCTCCCCCGTACTGCCTCCAGCTAGAGGAGTAAGCCTGAACCTGTGGGGCGTGGGCTGTGGCCATCACTGTCAGCCGGCGCCATTAGCCGTCTGTAGTAGACCGGTGGCAGCTCGGCCGACCGTGCCCGGGGGCACTTCGTGACGGTCGGTCGGCCGGACCGGCCCTTGTTTGCCCGTCCGTCAGACGTAATGACTCGTAAGGTCCGCGGGGGGCGTCTCGAGAGTCCGGCAATGAATACCTCCCCTCTGTCCGTCGGACGCTTTATCTTCTAGCTACACTGGGCTCTGACATTGCAATCTCTGTCAGCTCTGGCTTTTGCTGCAGCATCCTCCATGTGACGCTTTCAATTGTCATTCTCTTTCCTTCTCTTTTTCTTATCTGTCTGCGCTTTATTCATTCCCTAGGATCTTCGGACATATCACGAGATTTCTTGGCCGTACTGGAAAGACCTAACATTAGATAGACCCTTCTCTAGTGATCTGACTTCATGTCGTTCACCGTTTCTTCGTATGGCGGCTGCCCTCTGTGGCTCGCGTTCCATCTTCCTCTATATGAGCCTCCGCCTCCTTACCTTGGTCCCATGGTTGTATTTACTTTTCCCGTCCGTTCCACTTGTTCTGGTCATCTACTGCAGTCTTTTTCTGTAGACCATCTGTTTCATGCCACTGTCTTTCAGTTCTCATTTGCCGCTTCATCCACCTTTTACGCTACCCATTTCCCTCTCTTTCCATCTGCCCTCTTCTGCCATTTGTCTCGTTAATATTCTCTTCCTCGTTTCTCCTCACTCTCCCCACTCTTCCCGTCTGTGTCGCTCCACCCGTTCATTCATCAGCTGTCACATATCCTTCCCCTGTGACGCCGTCGTGTCCCCACTGTCTCGTTTTTCACCTCTGCTCCGGCTTCTGACTGCGGTCTCAGCTCCCTCAGTGTGAGCTCTGACAGCTTCATCTCCGGTTCTGTGCCGACTGATGCGGCAGAGGTGTTTGTGACGGAGGAGCGGGAAGCCCTTATTGACGACGACCGGCTGTTTTTCTTCTCCTCCACCGCCGCCACCGCCGCGTTGTCGTGGAGCCAGCGCAGGTTCTTTGTTTCTCCGCGGGCTCGTATGTCTGCCTCTGGGCGCATTGTTTCTTCATCAGAGCTTCCCGCTGTCGACGGCAGCCCCGTCTCGCCGTTCCCCGCATTCTCTCGTCGTCGTTTGAGTCTCTCGAGAGCCCGCAGCGTCGCCCTGGGCTGATCCTCCTCCCAGCTCGCGCACCGACGCTCCGCGCCCACCCATTTGATCTCGAGGTACTTCGCGTTGATCCCTCCCAGACAGACAAGTAACACCCTGGTGGAGGAAAAATGCGCACGCTCTGATACCAACGGCTGTTTCATCATCGCCCCCGGCGGTGTGTGCGTGTGAAGTGCGTAACGCATCCGGGATGTGAGCCACGCATAGCCAGCGGCTGAGTTACTGACGCACTCTGCAGCTGCATTGCAGGCGCTAAATTTGTCTTGGATTCAAGGTTAAACATACCAACATCGGTGGTTGGATCTAACAACATTGATCACTGCGAGAGTGGTTACCACGAAGAGCCGTTTGGTACTGCTTAGCGTCGGGTCTTTTTCATTGCAAGTGCAGCGTAGTTGGTAGCTGTGACATACTCCATTTCCTCCACCGAATTGTTTTCGTCTGGGCGATCAGTTTTCCTTTTCCTTTTTACGGTCAGCAGCAATTGGTGCAGTTTGCAGCGTCGCCAGCGCTCCTGGTGGCAGGGGCGGCGCCGGCCCGTGTGAACTCGTGTAGCCCCGTCCAGGAACACGGTGATGATCCGGCCTGAGTGACGGCCCGTCGACGCCATCACCGCGCCGGCCGTGTGCCCCTGTCGGCGCCGACACGGTCCGCCGGCGCGGCGGCCACGTGCCGCCCCCGCCCCCGCCCCCGCCCCCGCCCGTGCGCCGCCGCCGCCGCCGCCGCCGCCGCCGCCCGGCGAGGGTCCGGCGCGGGCGCTGGGCAGACGCCAGTGGCTCTGCGGCAGCCGAGCGCGCCGCTGCCGCCGCGTCGTCCGCTGTCGGGGATAAGCCGAGGGTGTCTCTCCGCAGATGTGTGGTCGCGAAGGAGTGATCTCCGGTGTGTTGTGGGTGCTAGTGTGAAGCAGGAGAGTGCCAGGATGAGTGCCGGACTGCGTACCGCGCAGGTCATTGACCTGGAGGAGCTGAACCAGTGGCTGGCTCAGCTGGAGGACGAAAATCAAGGTAGGTGTGGAACATCCGACATTTCGAAGGGCTCTGGGCGGTAAGGTTTTCAGGGGTCAGAGGGTTCGAGATTTCCCCAGTCAGGCTCGACGTCTAGACACCATTTCACGTCTGGCGAGCGATCCGGCCTTATTTTCACGCCGCCCTGGCTCGGCGGTCTCCGCCGCTCCTCAGTCGGGTGTGGTTGGCTGGGCTCGACCGACTCCAGCATGACAGGCCGTTTGAGTTGAGGGCCGTGGTAGAGGATTTCACTTGATCTCGACCCAGTCTGCTGCATTTCGACTGTTTGAATACGCGTTAAGCGCCTTAAGCTTTTTTCGTTGCGCAGCAGAATTTGGCCTCCTAAGTTCTGGTTCCTCCATTGCAGCTGGATATACCGAGCTGTGAACTTAAGGCCTGTTTTCATGATTTTGACAAGGGTCTTTTGTTCCATGATTCTATGATTTAATGTCCCTCAAAGTTTGCATCACTTTTAGTGACTTATTTTAAACCTAAGAAGATACGAGACATTTGACAACCTCGCACCCCACACCGCTCCCATCCTGGGTTTCACGTCAGTGGTCTGGTGCCAGCTAGTTAGTCGTGTTGTTCCGATGCTACTGACAGGGGTAACTTTTGGCGGTCGCCGGGGAAGGACTTGGCAGTCCTGCTGATCCCTTCCGTCGAATGAGATCTTCGGGAGCCGGGGTGTCTGCAAATGTTCACATTCGAGGTCGTGTGTAAACCTCTGAAATTCCAGGCGTGTTTGTAAAACTGCTCCAGTTTACACTGCGTCTGTGCGCGTTGGTCGACGGATGTCGGCCTGATGTGGAGGCCAGCTCTGCGGCTCGACGAAGGTCGGCGGTGCCCTGCGACCCACTGGTAGCCGCGAGCTGTCGGCCTTGGTCCATCTGTCCGGCTGCGCTGCCAGTGACGGGTCCACCCCTCCCCTCGGTCCCCTCCTCTCCCCGGCCCTCCCCAGTGGGGCGATGTGTGCTGGTATTGGCAGCCATCGACGCCCTCATTAGACCCAGTGGGTCAGCTGATCGCTGACAGGGATGGCTGATCGAAGGTCGTTTTCGCCTTCTCCAGCTTAGACGGACGTCGCTTGTGACATCTCACAGCTCCTAAGAATTGACATTCCACAGCTTCGAGAGCGGCCCGCGACCGTTTCATCTCTGAAAGTCATGATAGTTGCGCTGGTAGTGCGATAGCGACTCTAGTACCGCAAAAGTCGCGCTTGTACCGCGATAGCCAGCTGGCCGGACGTGATAGCGGTGTAAGACATGAAGCTCTGAGAATCCGGACTGTTTGGAGGCAGGAGAACTCAGGGGTACGATGGGCTTCCTTTGACGGTAGAGCGACATATTGAAGCATGCTTGACAAGGATTCGAACAACGATGACAAGGATATGAGCTGAGAATAGTGCGAGAACATGAACTGGTCAGGAATAGCCCATCGAGGTGAAACTGCGGTGGGAAAGGAAGGAAGACACGAATGTGTTACGGTCTTGTGTGTATTGTGCTGAAGCTAGGCGAAATTATTATCATGCTTCCGTGACATCAAACCTGTGTTCACCCTGCATTGATCGGCGTTTCCTCCAACTCTGTGTTCTGAAGGCGGAAGAAGTCGGCACCGTCTCACACCTTCGGGCGGCGCTGAGTGATCAGCCACCACCACCTCTGGTCCGGCGGGTCCGCCAACCGTTCCGCTCCGTTGACTTCACGGACTGATCCGCCGACCCCAAACTGGGAACGGTGGCCCGGCCCGGCGGCGCCGCCAAACGATTTCACGCGAGATCAGCGCATTCGACACGGTGCTAAATCCGGGAGCCGTCTGGTCGCTCTCCGGTAGCTGTCTGAACGGTTCAACGTCGCCTAGGTGGCGAACAGGCCATGGCTGCCGTCTGAAAGCCTTCAGGAGCTGTGGAAATCCTTTGGTGCCGTCCCAGTGCCGAGTTGGCTTGCCGAGCTCCAACAGACCGTCCGCGGCGCGATCTTCGTTATTCCACTGGGAACCCGGCTCTCAGATTTTGCTGTCAGCTACGCTTTCATGGACCAAGTAGCTGCCTCATCGCGTGGTTTTTAGACGGCACTGCTCTTGTTCTCACTCATCTTTTTGATACTCTGACAGGATCTATTCACAGCAGTCTCACACTTTTCTGATGCTCAGAAAGTATCCATTCACGCTTTACCTTGAACCTCAGCTGGTTAAGGACCTCGGCAGATGTGCCGGCTTCGCGGACAAAGGCTCCATCCGCCGAGGTGTCAGTCCGTTCACGAATCTCCCCTGAACTGGAGCCCTTCTCGATAGCATCTGCACCCGGTCCGCCCATTCAGAGACCCCATTTGGGGCAGCGCTGCCGGCCGCGGGCGGAACAGACCTCGAGACACGACACAGTGTCGGGACTACTGGGGCGTGAAGTTTGTCCCTTGTACCACGAGCCGAGCACAGCTGGCGAGCTGGGTTCAGCTAATGACTTCCTTTCTGAGAGCGCACGTTCCGAGTCAGTCGTGACTCGTGAGTGACTCAGTGAGCCGTCCAGCGTGACTCCGCGTCGCACCGGAACAGCCGTGCTCACCAAGTGTCTCGTGACTCAGTGATGTGCAGACCGTGTCGAACCCGTTGACCGTGCGCACCCCTCTGTACCGCCTGGTCGGGTCAGCGGCTGGCCGGCTGGCGTGGCGTGGCTGGCCAGCTGTGACGGGTCGGGGATTGGTGTCTGACGGTGACGCGTCCGCCGCGCGTCGGACGGACCGCCGGACGTGGTGTCCGGTGACGTGCGGCGGGAGGAATGTCCCTCAGAGTGCCGCAGCGCGCCCTCCCGCACCCCTCCCGTCGAGACGGCGTCTGAGGGTAAACAGCTGATTTGGACAGTGAAGGGTCTGACGCAGGCGCCAGAGAGAATTTGTTGATTTTAGCATGCCTCTCACTTTCCACTGAGTGGCCGTCTCAGTTGCTTCTCAGTGATAGCAATGAGTCACACCACTCAGGGAATGTATGCATTCATATGCTCTGCATTGTTCGGAGGACGGACAGCTAAACAGATGGCTGTTTGAGATGCATGACACGCTGCCTGCGGGGCTGTGACCACCGTCTCGGGCCGCCACTGGCGCCACGGCGCTGGTGTGTCTTGTCGGAACCTCAGCACCACCGACGCTGTCGGCGGCGGGTGGCGGACGTCATCCTCGCTCACCCGATCGACCACAGCCACCTTTTTGCGCCGCCCTCGGCAGCTCGTTTTTGCCGCGCTGCCGCCGGCTGCACCTCAGCGGAGCGGCCTGCCGCGAGGGACAGCGGGTGTTCTCACGACGTTGGCCGCCGCGGGGAGCCGCCGGAAGACACCTAACCCGGCGGTGTCTGCACGCACATGGCGGCGTGTGCCTCCTTGGGAGCGCTCCGGGGTGACCAGACGTCGGCGCAGAACGGGCAACAGGTGTGGGTTGGAGGGGAGTCGAGGCAGAGGGGAGCGCACGGAGGGAGCAGCATGTGTCGGTAGAGAGGGGAGACCGGCCGAGGTGGTCGCGTGGTGCGCGGTGAGGTCCGGCGGTGGCTCGCTCGGTCTGCACAGCCGTGTGTAGAGAGGGAGGGAGGGGCCGGTCGGCCGCACTTGCGTCTGTTTGTTGGCGGCGCCCCTGCTGTGGCCCACATGGGTCCGTGCTCGGCTAATGAGCGGGGCGCCCCAGCTGGGAGCGGCGCGCCGAGGCGGGTCCGGCACGCCGGCTGTCCCTGGGGACCCGGGGCTATATGGGGAATGGCGAAACCCAGAGCATATGGAGCGAGGCTGACCACGGCACTTGATACCCAGGGCTGCTGTGTGAAGTGTAGATGTTTTAGTTGCTGCTCAAAGTTCACGAGTAATGGTATGCGATGAATGTGTTGACAAATTTCATCACGTCTGTGTTATATTTTTATCTGGTGTCGACCCTGCTGAACCCTCGTCAATGCATTGATCTCTCCATAGGACTGCCTTTGCCTAAGGTGGAACCGTAACTTTTAACTGCCCGCTGCCGCCGCTCGGAGAGCACGTTAATTGTCCCGAGACCGGTGTATGTGTCATTCCCAGCGACTGATCGGACCGTTTACAGCAGATAATGATGCCCGGGTAGTTGTCCGTATCGGGGACCGATCGATGTCTTACACGCCGGGTCGCGGCTCCGGGACAGTGCTCTCCGCCTCCAGAGTCACGCATCCATGTCCTGCGCCGCACGCATCCGTGTACCCTGATCTCACTATCAGTTCAGTGTGGTCCCGCGTGCATCTACGTCCCCAGGCCGCGGTTCGTACAGTGATCGGTGCCGTGTAGCCACGCGGGTTGGACTTCCACGGGATGGCTGGATGGCTACTGGGAGGAAAGCTGTCTAACTTGCTGAATGCATCCGACGTGAAGCTTTCAAATATGACAAAGTTTTTAGAAGCGCTTATGCCGGAAAACATTCTTTGTTGCTAGAGAGATTAGTGGAACATCATTTTCCATTGTTGATTCCTGAAAGTGATAGAAGAGCGAACACAGGTCTCCAGAAATTTATTGCCGTAATATTTTGGTTGATTTTCTTGTTTTATGATCCCTTGAATGTGACATGGTCTAGCTATTTTACCCATTTAGCCAGTGACTGAGTCAGATTTCCTTTTCTCCCTGACGTAGAACGGCGTCGTTTGAAGTTTCTGGTGCGAGCCGAGTGGGGCGATCCGTTATCCCGTGGAACAGATTAGACCTTCTGTCGCCACGGCTCGTGTAGAGACGAGACTTGGGTGGAAACTTGGTCCAACTTTAATGGACATTGGACAGTGTGGACGAGTGACTCCATCTTCTGGCCAACTCATTGCGCCGCTGTCAGCGGCTCATCGGGAGACTGGCTTCAGGCTGATAGAGCTGAGAGTACGTCCCAAGTTCGACGCGCTAACTTCTGCTAGTTGCGTTGGCCGTCTCCCGAACCAGCTCACGCCACCCACACTGATTCACCATGACGTCATAGGCATGCCGAACTGTTTGTAAATGTTTCAAACCATTCCGGTGATCC